TTTATAGGGCTACATTCGGGCTAGAGCACTCGCTGGCTCCATAGCCAGACAGGTGATAAAACTCACCAACGCTTAGAATCTTTACATGGAAACTGGCCATCTATCTATTTTAGTCTCAGGTTCAAGCAGAAGTTTTATTTACCACACAAGCAACACCTTTTTGTTACGGGTATATTTTGGTATATGGGTTTATAGGACCTAATGAAAACTCGCTTCTTGCCTTGGGATTCCTGGCCATATGAAGGGTCATTTACTGAGGTCAGGAGTGCTCACATACAGCAGAAACAATAATTTCCTTTACTACAGCAATTACCGGCAAAAATCAATGAACCCTGTTAAGCTGGAGGCCAAGGTAAGTAAATGCAATAGTGCTTTCTAGTTTTAAAAACTCCCAGAGCCTCAGAGGCATGCCTCCCCTTACACATGTATTGAGGATAACTATCTAGCCATCTAGACAATATTCCGATTAGGATGTCAAACCTCCTAGTATTCCAAGGTCAAAAACTTTATTTTAGTACAACTGAAATGCAATCTTTAGCTAGCACTGAGATTGTCTAATTGATGGAAAAAAAATCTCCAAAGACTTCATGCCGTTTAAGTGTAGTGCTTACCTATAAATTACACTAGTGTTATGAACACAGTGTCAGACAGCTCGGGAGACTCTTCAATCACAGAACTTGTGGTGCAAAAATAGTTCAAGCTCTGATTCAGAAGACTCAGCTCTGCTGGTGTGTCTGTCCCCCTGCCTTTTCAGAGCAGTATCTGCTGAAACTGCTAACTTAACGGTCACTTTGACTTTATGTTTGCAAATGACGTGGGCCCTGAGGAAGAAGTGGGCTAAAGCCATTGCTTTCACGGCACAATTATTGCTGCTTTTCACCTTTTTTGTTATTACTTTTTTTTTTTTCTCTCTATAAATTCAGGCTGGGAAGCAGATGGACTGGTCAGCTCTCTAACCCTCTGCTTGCAGTACACTACTTTTAGAAGTGGCTTATTTCTCCACTGCTTTTTTTTTTTTTTTCCCCCAATTCTTAAGCCAAATGTGCAATGATGGATTTGGCAGCCACACTCTCGCCACCACCCCCAGTCAGCTGATCAGCAGTATCTTAGCCGCGGGGGGGATGCGAAGGCTGCTCTCTCCCCGTTCTGCAATGAGGGACAGTTTCTCTATCACAAGCACTGAGGTTAGACAAGGAAGGAGGGTCTCAGGGATGCTGCAAGAGCAAATTCATCTGTATTTGCAAAATTTACAACGACACGCTGTGCAAATGGTGGCAGGGATCTGCACGCACGGAAGGGTCTGCCTTCCCATCATTAACCTCTTAAACCAAACACCGGGCATTGCACTATTTCCTGCTGAACTACCTCCTCATTTTTAAACTGTCAATCAAAAGTATCCAAAGTGAAAAACTTTTCCCTGCATTTGTTTGAAACCTTGGCACAATGTTACTAGCATCATTTAAGTACAGATCAGGACTCAGTGGCAGCCAAACCTGCACCTTGCTGATTAGCATGCCTCACAGTATCTAACAGACGTTTGACTTAAGAACCCAAGAATTTCACTGCTCAAACACTTTATTAGATCCCTAAGCCTAAAAATGGTTTTCAATAATGTGTGTGCTGCTTTGGAGTCTCAGAAAAGCTACTCTGGGAGCTAGGAAACATATCCTGGGAGGTAAAAATGTGATCAAAAACATATTGGATAAAAAGAAGAAGGGGTAATGATGGGTTTTAACTGCAATTTTATTTTATTTCACCTCAGAAATGTGCTGTAAGTTTAAGAGAGGGGAACAACTATTGGATTTTGTTTTGCATCTTTTTTTAAAACAAAATTATTCTCATCTAGGGTTGGTAGGGTTTTTTCCCCCCTAAACTCAATAAACTATATATTGGAATGACCTTGTAACGGGTTTCTGTAGCTCTTTAATCACCAGTGGCTGCTAAATGAAGCATATCTATTTTCTCTGTTACATTACTATTGGCAACCAGGTCTTCAGTAAGTGCCCAGAAATATTTCCATGGCAACAAAAAGCATTCAGCATTGCTACTGTTTTGTGCCAATTTAGCTTTAAAATATTCTATTGTGGAGAGAAATATGGTACATTAAGTGAAATAAAGTCAAGATGCAATGTTCTGAAAAGAATATAAGGATAAACAGGAAACATGTATTTTGCAGAAATGGGGGAAAAAAATGCCAAATGGAAGGAAAAATGTTCAAAGCTAATATTGATGCTACTGAATGCTTTGCTGAATGTCAGCAAGTCCATATGCTCGCTTACATTGTCACTTAGGGTTAGGTAACAAAGCTAACAGAAATAAGGATACCTCAAACATCTTCTCTTGATCATTTTAATCCATGACTGAAATTTTAAGTTGCTAGACTATTAGAGCCTCTCTGCATGTCTAGGTTACCATCAGAAGAGTTCATACTCTTGATGTTAGAGAATGAATCTAAAGGAAAAAGAGGAAATAAAGAGTTGAAAAATGAAATACAAAGAGCATGTGTGTGTTTTGGAAGTGAAGGGTCACTTAGAAGAGCAAAACGATTTCTCCCACATCAAAGATCTTCTGGAAGACATTTTCAAATCACAGTTCAGCACTTTCTGTCCTATTATACAACTTAGTTCTGAGAAAAAAGGCATCAGCTCCCAGCCCTTCAACTCTCAAACAGCCAACTTCATGACTATAAAGTCTTGAGACCATTGGATGGCCCTTTGTGCAGTGCATTGCAGAGATAAAAAGATAAAAGACTATTTGAGAGCATTTGGAGCGACATCCCCTCTGGTGTAAAAAGCTATGCAATGCCCTCTAAAGTGCTTCGTGTGGAAGTAGAGAGCTCTAGGCAGCAGTAATGTAGGTGCTGGGGAGCTCTGTAAGGCCAGCCTTCCAGTCCACAATGGCTCCAGATGGCTTACTGAGAAAGCAAGCCAATAAATATTAAGAGTCCAACAGCAACTTGGTCAATATCTGCTCTCAGCTGGGAGAGAGGTTCAGAGTGACCCTCTCCTTTAGCTGCAGCAATGGGTTACTCTGGCATCCAGCTGTCACTCCATGTGTGTCTCACCAGGAAAATTCCTCTGGGCCATCACATGCTCCTAAGGACCCTCTTTCTCAGATGTCCCTGCAGACAAGACTGCAGGTGAGAAACTGCTCTGACAGTGACAGCAGTCCATTCCTGGCCCCCATTTCCCTGAGAGCTCACCATATTTTCACCCACCCACTGTGAGAAAGCGTGTAGTCCAGAGACAGGACAAAGACCTGGAGGCCACCATCAGAATAATGCATTTGGCACGTGGCTGCTCCCCAACCTACTCTGAGGAGCCACAGGATTTGCCATGAATCACTCTAACAGCCCCTCTTGAGGGTACAGGCTCTGCAGGAGATAAGGCTGTGCCCTGGATAGCACTTGTCCAGGAGGATCCATGGCACCAGCACTCCCTGGAAGGACACTACATGCCCTGCTCCATGGCGTCTGTGCACACACTGGGCACATAATCCACGCACACAGAGTAAATCCAGCCCTGCGGCATTGACTTGGTGCCTATGAACAAACCCTGCGGGCAGGCTATTGCACAGGCAATGCGTAGGGGTACCAGAAGGCAGAGAATCTGTACAGGTTGGAGGGTGGGCTCCAAGAGATACAGCTCTGGGGTGCTTAACCTGAGAACTGGCATTTGTTCATTTGGAATATGAAATAAGCGGTCCCAGTTTGGGAGAAAGAACAGCTAGACCAAAACCTCTTTTTAATTATTTACTCCCTGGCCATAACAGTGTGAGGAATAGTAATAAAGAAAAGAGCTAATTTTAACATTCATTAAAGAACACCGTCAAGGTTTATACCCTCTCAGTCTGATATTCCTATTAAATACGAAAACAAACAGGCTGATCTTCCGCAGTCTGCACAGAAAAGGCTAAATATGTAAGACTTCCCTGGAAGCCAAGAGTGATGAAAAGCTTTTGGTCATTATAAAACAAACATTTTCAAGAGCATTTACTGCCTGCTTCAAAAAAAAAGAATTTAGATATTTGAAGCCAAATTCTGGAGACGCTCAGTGTGTCTCAAGTTCTTCGTCAGCTCCATATCGTAGACCCACTCCCACCCTCCTTTCCTCCCTTATGTCCCTTCCTAGGATGTCTGTAAAGAGCAGCTTTAACCCCGGAAGACCCAAGGATGGTGTTGGCAGGACTGCAGCTTTCCTGCTTGTGGTTGGGACATGTGTCTCCATCGGTCCTCTGTGACCCAGGTAACTTCCAGCCACATTTACAGCAGTATTGAGTGAGTACAAGTCACATGGCTGAAATTCAGTCCTGAACACAATCACCTGAAAAGCTATTCATGCCACTTAATGATCAGAAGTCATAGTTAGGCCTATTTAAAACTGAAAATATCAATTTCAGTTCTCCTTCTCATAATCTCCTGCCTGCTGTCCTCTTCAGTCTTATTTGAAAAGCCTGTGGGGGTGGTGGGAAGGGAGGGAAGCGATTTGGGAGCCTTTCATCCATAAAATCATGAGATATGGCTGGCTTTTTAGTACAGCATTTCACAGCACATGGCACAGTAACATCTTGAGATTTCTGGCACAAAGAAACAAGGTTTGAGATTATATATATCTTTAATAGCAATGACGCAAAGGCAGATGGTTCTCAAAGCAAAGGCTTAAGGCTAAACACTCCCTTTGAAGGGTCCTGCTTCCAGAAACAAAACATGGGGGGAGCAAAATATTACTGGCTACAGAAACAGGGCCCGATTGCCTTCTAATACACAGCATTTCACCCTGGAGATTTCCCCTTATTTCAACAAGATTAGTCTCACAAATGGTAGAAGAATTGGAAACAGAAGAGGAAGGTTTAGTTTTTTCTTTGGGATTTGAGGAGTTTTATTTTAGCTGTGGGAAACAAAGAAAACATAGACCATAATAGGCAGATTAGCAACTAAATCAAATCAATACCAGAAAAAAGAGGTCTGGATAATACTGTCAGGGTATGTGCTAGCTGCTTACCTGCAAAACTTCCCTTGCTGTTATTTCTTTTTAAGGAGCCACCCAAGCTGAGGTTGTCCTCATGACCTCCCATCCTCACAGAGGGCTCACCTTCTTCCTCAGCGATGGGAGGAAGC